ACGCACACACACATACACACACACACACACACACACACACACACACACACACACACTTCTAAAAACTGTCCCTTACGGTTGTATCTGAGCTGTGGCTGCAGGCGACTAGTTTACGAATGGGATTCTGAAGCAGGGGCAGCTCCAGGGGGTGGGGCATGGGGACCCTCCTGAAAACAGCCATGCCCCTCCTTATGCCCCCCACACACTTTCCATGAGTGCAACATGGTGGGACATGTCCCCCGCACTTTCCTTGTCTGTACCCTCTGTACCCCGCTTTATTTCAGCTGTTAAAACCATTTAATCTAGTGTTAGCATGGGGTAACTTATTTTTTCGAGCCGTCTTTAAACGCACCATTGTGCAAGCTCACAGAGACGCACTGAGTGAGTTTGTTGTTTATCTGATCCAAAGCCGCGGGGGCGGTGCAGCCACGTCAGGCTAAGCTGCAAAGACACGGCCGCAGACGCACCGCCCCCGCGGGCACAGCTGGTGAAACAGTTAAATATTCAATGCGAGCAGCCCGGGACAAACTTGAAAAAGACGGTGAAAGGAGAGCGGCCGATAAAACGAACAAACATGTTTTAAAGTAAGGAGAAAGAGATGGGTGGAGCAAAAACGCTGAGAGGGGAAAAAATAAAAAGGTCAGCGCAAGATCTAGCCAAATGTGCCAGAACTTTCCTGTGGTGGAGCCTCCACCGTGGAAGGACCGAGGTCAGACGGGCCAGTGATGACACGGAGAGCACGGCGCAGGAGTGCAGATTAGCAAGCACTGTTTACATGTTTCTATCGCCCAGACTTGGTTTGTGTGTTTCTGGATGTGTTCAGGGCTCTTGCAAAAGTTTTAGCTGAAAAGTCCAGAGTCAGTCATGGAGTTGATGCCAGTTATAGAAATGAAGGAGGAGGAGGAGGAAGGAAGGGAGTGGGATGGGTGATGAGAAGGAGGAGGAGATGGAAGAGGAGGAGAATGAGAAAGATGAGAGGAAGCAGGAAAGTGGAGCAGGAACCAGTAAAAGAGCAGTGCCAGCTTCAGTGTGCAGGACTGTGTTTATGATGGGTCTTTGTATTAAATTATTTTGACATTTTGAGATATGAGGATTGTAGTCTGAATCTAGTCTTTTTGACATCTGAAACAGGCTGAAAATGTCACAATTCAAATATGTTTTTCTTTCTTCTGACTGAGCTTAAAATGAGTTTAATTTAGTGAGTATGAATTAAAACTGATTTTAACACATTTTTTTCATGTCCACAAATGTGTATAAGGTATAAAAATAGGTAAAGTCTACATCTTTAACCACAGAAGACTCACTCTGGATAAAAACTACATCTTTGAAGAGAAAGTTGTTTGTTCATGTTTGTACGGGGTGGGACAGGTCCCCCTCACTTCCAATATCTGTGCACGCACGCACGCACACACACACACACACACACACACACACACACACACACACACACACACACACACACACACA